ACCTTTATTTATCCTCAGCCTTTACAGTGTAACTCTTAAAAATTAATAAAATGAAATAAATGAAACGAAGGAAATATAGTACTATACGAAAAGAATTAAACTACCTATTAGTTGTATCGTTATATTTGTTCAAACGAAATTTGTCGCACTTTGAATGTGAACTCCCTAAGTAATGTGGTATACCTCAGATCCTAAGGGAGTCTATTCCACAGAGTTGTAGATGCATACCTAAATGAATGTAAGCCGTGAGTTGTTGTCTTAACGCAGGGAACAGTAAGTTTGTTTGTTCCCCGCAGATCGTGTGTCGTAGCTCTTGCTTGATACCATCCACCTAGTAGATATATATCTTGGCATCGTTATGGTGGATAGTCTTAAAAAGCTATGACTAACATATCTTGGCGCTTGGTACTTTATAAATTGTTACAATCAATCTCATTTAAGAGGCCCTGGTAGACCAGACATTTCTCGTTAAGAACTATCTTGGGCGCCCTTTTGTTAAGTTTCTCTAGTTTGTCTCTATTCCGAGCCCCACAAAGGTGCCAAACCGTTTAAGTCTAAAGTATGGTCAGGAGCCTAGTCCTCATATAGGCTCCTGGTATGGTACTATTATAATATAGATTTATAGATTTTACATTTTGCTGCTGGTGGTACTATTTTTCCAAACCGGAATATTACATTGACCTGATTATTGACCTTAGTACAAATATTCTTCACATGGCCGTTAAACTGCAGATTCTTATCAATGTTGACTCCTTGGAGATCAATACTGTAAGATAAGATGATTTATTTAACGTCAAATGCAACGGGAGTGGTTACTTTCTCACCTTCAGTAAGGCTACGATATCCTTTGGACTTAATTGCACTCTGAAAACAGGAACAAAAACGTTTATATCGTGGGTTTGTTTATTTTTATCTTGTCTTTTGCATCTAAAAAAATATAACCCATTGAGGTATACAAGATAAGAAACCTAGTTGCCTTGTTGAATGAGCGTGCACTTCTACAAAGACTGTTTGTCTAAATAAGTGCAAAAGAGTTACTGTCATGCTCTACCTTCGATTATGTTTCGCATACTGGCGGGGACGTCAAGAGAACATTAAATTCGGGCTACCTAAGTACATCGTTAACTTGTTCAGTGGTATCAGTGATACAAACCGTACCACGGCTATTTCAACGCGGCAGTAAAACAATGATCATGAAGGAAGGCAGACGTGCGATTCTGAGCTCGCGAGTTATTGGACTTGTACTTATTTTGTGTCTTGTTCATACCTTGAGGAAAGATAGGCGGGATTATTCTTTTACCAGCGAGTGAGTACTTTGGCCTATGTTTCCCGCATTCCTCGTCGGTTAAAGAGGTAAACTGGGATACGAGACACTGTACAAAATGGCGGACACACGTGCATGTCACTATCAGTATGAGAGTGAAACGAGCAAGCGCTACTACAGCCTACTACGCCAACTCAACCTCTACCTTTAGACCTGTTATACAACTGCTACATGATGTGGAACTTAACCCTGGACCTGCAAACTGCTCTAGTGGAGACAAGTCAGAAAAGTCAAATGGCAATGTTAAAATCGCACATCTTAATGTTCGCTCGCTCAAATGTCGTGAGCATTTCGTTCTTGTAAAGAATGCGGTACTGGAAAATAAGTTTGATATATTTACCGTATCCGAAACATGGCTCAACAGTTCAGTTACGGATTTGGAGATAGAAATCCCTGGCTATGTTATCTACCGAATCGACCGACAGGCGAGGGTTGGCGGTGGAGTATGTGCTTATGTCTCACGAAATTACAGGACGGAGTACTTGAGTGACATTTCTCTTATCACGGCCTCTGGCTTCCATCAACTGTGGCTAAAAATCCACGTCAGAAACATGAAGTCCTTCCTTGTCTGTACAACCTATAGACCACCGGACACTTCTTTATCTTGTTTCGATTCAGATCTTACAGAGAACTTTATTTATGCCTCGTCGTTTAATGTTCCAATTTATCTATTAGGTGATTTGAACTGCAGACTTGAGAATAGGGACGATCCTGGAGCTAAAGCCCTTGTTAACTTTTGCCGTTCCTATAACTTGTCAATATTGATCAACACACCAACACGAGTTACAGAGACTTCGAAATCAATTTTAGATGTTATCCTTGCATCGGATACAAGACAAGTCCAAACGGCTACAGTTATCGAAAGCTCGATCAGCGACCATGAGCTAATTTATGTCACCTTAAGATTGAAGAAGGCGCGCTCCAAACCCATTTATATTACTACCAGAAGTTTTAAACACTACAGTCCTGTTGATTTCAGCAACGACGTATCATTGGCACCGTGGTCCATAGTCGATGTTTTCGACGATGTCGAGGATAAAATTTATGCATTTGATTCGCTGTTTACTGAGATACTCGACCGTCATGCTCCAGTTAAAACCTTTAAAGCACGCTGTAAGCCAAACCCATGCGTAACCGACAACATCCGCGGATTGATGAAGACCAGGGATGATTGGCGTAAAAAAGCAAAGAAAACAAGTGACCCGCTATCCTGGACTGCCTACAGATATTTCAGACAGGAAGTAAAGAGGGAAATTAGAATTGCTGAACGAGAATTTGTTGCTGAACAAATCCAAAGGAACCCAAATAACACCAATAATATCTGGAAAGCAATCCGCCAGTGTGTCCCCAATAAATCTACTTCTCAGCGAACATTTAGTAAGAGCGTCAAATCTGTTGCAGACGAATTTAACCAGTTCTTCGTATCTGTTGGTCAGAGCACTGTTGACAAAATTACGTCCCTGGCTAATGAATGCAACTTAACACTTAATCAGAATTATTTCGTGCCGAGACAATACGCTTCCTCTGACCAGTTCACACTTAGTACCGTTGATTATAAACAAGTAGAGCGTATAATAGCAGCGATGCCTTCAAACAAGGCCCCCGGGATAGATAAAATTCCGATCCGTGTCATCAAAGACTGTCTTAATCCAATTGTTCACCCAATAACGTCTATCGTTAATGCATCCTTTCAAAACTGTGTTTTTCCATCAAAATGGAAAACAGCCGAGGTTACACCCATCCTAAAGGAGGGCGACCATGAACAGGCAAACAACAATAGACCCATCTCACTTCTACCAGTTTTATCGAAGGTTTGCGAAAGGGTAGTACATAATCAACTCACCTCGTATCTGCAATCAAATGACACCCTATCAAAGAGTCAAAGCGGTAACAAGAGATGGCACTCTTGTGAAACATCTGTCATTGAAACAACAGACACAATTCTTAACGCCATCGATAAAAAGAAGTTAACGGCAGTTGTACTATTAGATATGAGCAAAGCCTTTGATAGTGTCAATCATGACACGTTAATTTTAAAATTGCAAGATGTCGGAATTTCCAGTGACACTCTCCAATGGTTTCGTAGTTACCTAAGCAACAGGTCACAAGTAGTACGAATCTATTCAACGCTATCTGAGCCTTTGTCTGTGACCAGTGGCGTTCCTCAAGGAAGCATCTTGGGCCCACTTCTTTTTTAGCATATATACGAACGATCTTCCATTGATCCCACAGAAATGCAGCACCCAGAGTTATGTAGATGATACGAAACTCATCACTTCCTTCGAGCTTAAAGCCAACCTGGATGCAATTGCTGATTTGGAAGACGACCTGTTTAAAATAGGGGAATGGTGTTCCAACAATCAATTGTTACTAAACCCTGGCAAAACCAAGTTGATGATATTTGGCAGCAGGCAGATGCGTGCAAAATTCCAATTTCGTTACCTTTCCTTTATGGGTAAGGACATCGTCCCTTCTGACACCGCCAAAGACCTTGGTGTGACTTTGGATTCTAATTTAACTTACGATGAACATATAATTAAAACCGCTTCCTCGTGCATGTCCCGCCTTGGCCAGATAAACCGTGTCAAGCATGTCTTCGACAAACGTACACTTTTGATGATTATTAATTCCTTAGTTTTTAGCAGGTTATTTTATTGCTCCAATGTTTGGTCAAATACCTCAAAATGTAATGTCAACAAGTTACAGGCAGTGCAGAACTTCGCATGCCGCATTGTTAGTGGCGCGCGTAAATTTGACCATGTTACACCAATTCGCAAGGAGCTAAATTGGCTTTCAGTTCCCAGTCAGCTTTATTACCGGAACGCTACAATGGCTTTTAAATGTATGACCGGTCAAGCCCCTGAATACCTTACATCAAAATTCATAAAGCGAGCAGAGGTTAGCCGACGTAGCACCAGAAATTCACAGCTTTTACAAATTCCCTTTTTTAGAACAGCTGCCGGTCAGAGAACATTTTTCTATAGAACTGTGAACTTATGGAACTCCTTAGACAATTCCTTTAAACTGTGTAACTCGATTGATGTTTTTAAATCTCGTTTACGTACTAAATTACTTAAAGAATTGTAATTTTATTTTAAAACATTTTTTAATTGTAAATAGGATCATGTATTGTCTTTGAAAAGCCCCTTGGGAAAGTCAATAAAGTATGTATGTATGTATGTATGTACTGTCTATTACTAACAGGAATTTTAATGCTTAATTAGTATTTCCCAGCACTATTGCTTGATATTTGTCTGGGTTTGATATCATGCCATTCACACCAAACTAGTGGTCAGCTTTGAGAAGACTAAAATGGCATTGAAGTCTCGCTTCTATATCTCACTGGATCATTATCCGAATCATAAATGTGCTCATCGTCAGCGTAAGCATTAATACTTACTTGCTCCACGGTTCCCCAGAGCTCTTCCCCCCTGGCCGTCATGCGCTGAGAAGAGCTCTGGGGTCGAGATTCGGTCTCAGGTCCTTGTGACAATTAGTAGACAAAGAATTTACTTTGTTGCTCATAAATAAAATTAACGTTGGTCTCAGGCCAAAAAAAAATATAGTTGCATATTTAACAAATGACAGTTTGTGCTGCAAAACTAGAGAAAAGGGCAAATAATGTTAGCAGTGTTATTTTGGGAAAATAGGTAAAAATCATGCTCGTTGTGACTAA